TGTTTTCCTTGTATCTGCTTCCCCTTGGACATATTATCCATAAACATGGTATTTCTTTTCATATTTATGCTGATGACACTCAAATATACTTGCCCGTCAGATCCACAGACCCTGGAATGCTGAGTTCACTTAACTACTGCCTTTGTGAAGTTAAAAAATGGATGTCAAATAATTTCCTCCAGCTGAACTCAGACAAAACAGAAATCCTGGTCATCGGGTCTCAGCAGATGGCAAATCAAATACTGCCATCTGCTGGTTCCCTAGTAAATCACATTAAGCCTGTGGCAAAGAACCTTGGTGTTTGGTTTGATAGTAATTTAAATTTCGAGCAGCACACCACAAAGCTTGTTCAATCATGTTTTTATCAACTTAGAAATATAGCAAAAATTCGATCTGTGTTAACTTTTAAGGACACCGAGACCATTTTACACGCCTTCATCTCATCACGCCTGGATTATTTCAACAGCCTTTTCACCTGTTTAACCCAAAAATCTATTGATCGACTCCAGACTGTCCAGAACTCAGCTGCCAGACTTTTAACCAGAACAAAGAATTATGACCACATTACTCCTATTTTAGCTTCATTACACTGGCTCCCAGTATGTTTTAGAATTGACTTTAAAATTCTATTGATCACTTTTAAAGCTCTTCATGAGCTCTCGCCTTGTTATATTTCTGACCTTTTAGTCCCATACACACCAGCACGTACCTTGAGATCCTCAGACCACCAGAGGTCTTTTGTCTGTTCCAGAGTCTCGACTGAAAACTAAGCGTTTGCTGTCAGGGCCCCGAGGCTCTGGAACAGCCTGCCTGAGGAAATCAGGTCGGCTGAGTCAGTGAACTCTTTTAAGTCCCTTCTTAAAACATACTTTTATAGGAGAGCCTTTCCCGATCTTATTTGACTTTATTTTATCCCTTTTATTTTATTGTATTTTACTAATTTTATAGTATAATATATTATTATTATATTATAATTCTTATCATTTTAGTCTTTTCAATGTTTTCATGCTTTTATCTTGTATTGTTTTTGTATTATTGTTTTTTGGGTATTATTGTCTTTACACTTGTTAAAGCACTTTGTAACTTGTTTTGAAAAGTGCTCTACAAATAAAGATTATTATTATTATAACATGAAATCAAAGGAGAGCAGAGAGGAGGAGGTGAGTTTTTGGGGGCTTCACTGCAGTCAATTGGAAAAGATTTCTATGCCTATTAGATATTCTAATTGTCTGCTATATCCTACTGTTTAACACGATGGACAATGCCAATGCAGCTCCAGCTACATAGCAAACTCACTGGAGCAAATGTTGCCTCTGTCAAAAGGAGACAAATGGAACTCTCAAATTACCACCAATACATAATCCAAGTAAACATAATGGCTATAGCATGGTTGCCACCAATGTTCCTCTTTTTCAAGCCATCAATGAACTCCCAATTATTCTTGTAATCTACACTGTTGAGACCAAGTCTAACTATGAAACTCCTTGTGTTTTCAGTCTGAATGTCAAACTTTCCTCGGGCAAGATTCTGAAACCCAAATTGCCCCCGATGGCCGTTCAATCGGTGTGTGTGAGCAGTTTCTGTTCTGAGCAGGTAGAGTCAGTGTATGAATGTGTTTGAATGGGTGAATGTGACATAGTGCAAAAGTGAGAACAGTCAGAACAGCATGCTGCCTACCAGGCAGGATGCGTATGGGAACAATCAAACACTCGGTTATCCAGAAGGAAAAAGTTTTGCCGACTAGGGCTGGATTTAGGAAAGGTGATCTGCGCCTGTGGACTGATGTGCCACAGATCTGGGGGTGACACCAGAGATGCTCTCAAGTCTCTAATCTAGAGTCCTAGTCAAGTCTAAAGTCCTGGTGGTTATAATGAGTGTTGCAACACCTGCTACGTTGCATCCAGGCTGCTTAGAACACTGCATAGCTATAAGGAATTCTGTAACTGTAACCTCTTTTCACTTACTGAGCGCAACCATGGATGTCCACTGCAACAAATAATGACAAATGATAAGTCAACACCCAGCACCAGACTCTCAAACCCAATGTAACTAAATAAAATGGTACATGATCAACAATAAACCTGTGACCAGTTTGCTGCCAATGTTAATAATTAACGTGATGGTAGCCAGCTGGACGTAAATGAAACGTTAATTGACTACCACAAGTTTGGCAAGCAAACACTCATTCTTCTTTTTATAAACAACCACAGTCAGACTTACCCTCCCATAGGATGTAGCATAAATATAAACAAGCTAACATTAGCCAAAGCTGAGCTAAGCATGTTTACCAACCTATCAGGTTACAACCTATTTTGCATTCTGTGCTTCTTTTATTTGGGCCTTGTATGAAGTTTTAAAGCTGCCGGTGTGGTCGACATGTTTCTTGTCCATGCTTGCTTTTTTTATGAAGCAGGTTACATACATAAACAGTTTGTATCGGTTTAACCGCATTTATTGCTATTTTATGATCGGCAGTCTGCACAGGGTGTTTTATTTTGAAAATTGACTGAATTATCTATACCATTCAGTGTCTCACTTCCTACCCGGAGTCGGAGTCAGCGGACTGTGCGGGATATATGTGCGTGTACACACAAATATTCCTTTTATAATTGGCATTTCCATGACTCGGCAATACGATGTGTTGCATTACTGTTACCGGACCAGAACAGTGCTTCTGTAGGTCTTTAATGTTGCATTAGTTCATCATCTCTCTCTGGCTTATGGTGTCATGTTTCAGCAGCAGCAGTTTTAACGTCAGCATAGTCTTCATCCTTGGATGGATCTGGGACTGGAGCATATTGGAGGAGCAGTATCCAGGACTGGATCAGCCGGAATGGATTTCATGACTTGTGTACCTCAGTTAAAGAAAAGATAATGTGTTGGTTTGTTCTTATGGGGATTTTTTTAATAGTTTCCTTTTATCCTTATTTTATCTAGTCAAATGTTCTGTTTTAAGTCTTTACACTTTCCCTTAATTCTAGTTGATATAGCAATCTGCCTTAAATGGTAGGTTTCAGCTCTTTTTCTTTCTCTTTCTGGACAAGGCTGCATGCTCTTCTGCATCTCTCCTTTCCTTTCTCTTCAAATATGTCCTTAGCTGGTCCAAATAGATATATTTTTGAACTAAAACTTACATTTAACACATTTCAACCCACTTATCAAATTGTCCCATAGATGTTTTATCTTTTTCAGTCATAAATTTTACAACTGGCAGAAGGATTTTAGGAGCTGTTTCCCACTCAGTTTACCAGTTTTTACTTAAACACATAACCTCTCATCTCTAATGTATGTCTCTCTATGTTTCACATTTTCCATCACCCTCATTGTAAGGCATTTATTTGGCATACTTTCTTTGCCTTCTCTTACTTTCTGATCCTGCCTTCCACATGGATGATGCTTTCAAATGCTTTTTATCCTTGAAAAAAAAATCACTTTTCTACCTGTTGTAATTGCCTCAAACTGAATAGGAAACAGAATTTATTCATCAATAATTCTTTTGCATGCATTGTATGATAGGCGAAGAACAATCAGGTCTATCACCTTAGCTTATTTTGCTCGTTTGACTTCCCACCTCTCACACTATCCTTCCTTGCTTGTACAAGTCTTTTAGGGACTGCAACCCTTTCCTTAGATACAGTCGTCACTGTAAATCCACTACAAACTCTGGGAAAAGCAGTCGACAGCAGAAATAAACAGTCCTCTTCACGGCCCTGTCAAGACTCCAAAATTGCTCGAACAGCGGAGAAACCCTTGTTTATTTTTAAAAAGAATTTTTACTTTATTTTTTTTTATATTTATTTATTTAATATATTTTTTATTGCTCCTCTTTTTGGTCCTTTTTGGTTTTTGTTTTTTCTGCACAGCCCTGTTTAAACCCCAAAAGGAATTAAAACAGCGGAGAAAAAAAATTTTCTGTACGGCCCTGCTCAAACCACGAAATGGTTAGAACAGCGGAGAAATACCTCGTTTCTACATGACCCTATTCGCAGCCCCAAATGGTTAGCAGCGGAGAAACCAGTGTTCTACAAAGACCTGCTCAACCGGTCAAAACAGCGGAGAGAATCTGCAGTAATTTTGCTCGGCCCTGTCAACCAGTTAACAGCGGAGAAAAACTTTCTTGTAATTCTGCTCGGCCCTGTTAACTAAGGATCCACGTGTGAGATGGTACAATCAAAATAGCAATCTAAGCTGAAAGTCTAAAAAACAAAGAAAACAAACAAACAAAAAAACACAAATTCAATTTTGAAGTTTATTTCAGACACTCATCGTTTTTAAGGACAACGTAGGTCCAACTCTTTTTGAGATGGTGGTGGCAACGGTCCGGGGTGCAGACGGTCGACCCTCCAGTCTCTTAAGTCAGTGAGGTGGAGGCTGAGACACTTTAATCCAGGGTGATCAGTCGCCGGCTGTCTCAGGTCCCAGCCAAACCATCCCACTTCTGACACCAAAGGAAATGGAAATATGTCCTTTAGTGAGTCTTCTGAAATAAAGAGTCCAATCCAGACGTCTTTTAAGGGTTTTATCCTTTGCAAAGGGTCAGACAAACATACAGAGTGCAAACAGTCTGCAGAGTGTAAGACAAAGAGCCAGTGAATAAACAGGTGACTTTATACTGTAAGGGTATTACGTAGCTATCCAAGGGAGGAAGGGAGTAGGGACCAGCTGTGATGACCTGAGATGAAGGCCTATCAAGGACAGTCTGATAAGAAAACTCTCTTCTCTTCATCTCTGCATCTCTGCATCTGTCCCATGGGAAACTTCACCTAGCTGCAACATAATAAAATAATCGAATACCACACAGTGAAACACTGGTCTATTCTGATGAAGCATGCAGGGTGAAATAGTAAACACAGTAAAATATCAAATTTCCATCACACTATCTCTGTCTCAAAAACTAACACAGTAGTATATATGGTCAAATTGTGCAAAAACAGTGTTTGTGGGGATCAAAGAAAAGAAATGTACATGAGCAACAGAATAAATCTAGACTATTTGTTGAGTTTTTGTCTTCAAACCTTTATTGAAGTGAACAAGAAGCTCTGCAGCCATCAGCAGCTACTAGATGCTGCTCCAAGAAAACTTTATTAAAGTAAAAATCAACCTCAGCCCTGAGATCATTTCACCACCAAACACATTTCTGACATTAAAGGCACAATCAGTGAGCCAGATGTTAACCAAAGTGAAGCCTCGTCCACCACCAACATTTAAACCACAGGACTGGAAGTTGTCTCCCTCTACACAGAACACAGAGACACTGAGGAGTCAGAGGACCAGAGCCAGAACCCAGGATAAAGAGGTTCAGTGAATGTGGTGTTGAAGGTGTGGAGGTGGATCAGTGTGTCAGAGGAGACTCTGTAGAAGGACAGAGTGCCAGCAGGACAGTCCACATACACTGCTACTCTGTTAGAGGAGGAGGAGGACGAGGAGGAGAGAGGGAGGACTGTTTCTCTGTTATTGTGCCAGACAGAGTAACGACCATCAGAGCAGAACAGACTCAGGGACTGATCATTCCATCCAAACACACAGTCTTTACTCTGTCCTCTCCTTCTGATTCCTCTGTAACTCACTGATATATAAACACTTCCTCTCCACTCGACCTCCCAGTAACAGCGACCAGTCAGACCATTTCTACACAGCAGCTGACACCAGTGGTCAAATCTCTCTGGATGATCAGGATATGACTGCTTCTCTGTCACCACATATGTCACCTTCCTGTTGTTGTCAGACAGTTTGAGGTTTCTGTGTGCTGTGTTTGTGTCCAGTGTGAGTTCACAGAAATCTGACGGAGAGAACGAGACACAACAAAGCAGCAGTTTATCATCAGACACATCTGAAGGTTTATTCTTTGTTTGTGTGCTGATGTTGATCATTTCTATAAAGTTTAATGATGCATTTAGTCAGTAATGTTTGAATGAATAAATACCACAACTATCATCGTTTTATTGAAAGAGAAACTGACTGTGTGCTGTTTTGTCATCATGAGTCAGATTGAATCCACACTTACACTTCCTCAGACCAGGTTTTAACCTCTGCTCTCCACCATGGTCCACCCTGGAGGAAGAAACACAGTCAGAGTGATTTTCTATCCAACATGAGTCCTAACTGCTGTTCAACATGAAGCAGTGTTCCTCAGTTTGTCAGTGTGACAGAGAAACAGGCTGAAACTCATCTGTGTCAACTGTCTCCAAGATTCTTTCTGTATATTCTATGTAATATCCGGCCTGTCCTGTGTGAGTCCTGCTGTGATGTGAGTTCGCTAACTGAAGTTTATTATCAGTTTTGCCTTCAGATGGAAGGCTAACCCTAGCATGCTAATGCTAGCATGCTAAGTCAGCTGGAAAACAATGAAGCGCTGTAGTACCTTGATAACAGCATGTTACTCTGCTCTTCTATCAGGTAGCCATCTTAGTAAGACTACCCCCCCCCCACACACACACACACAGCTCATGTCTGTCTGTGTTTCTTTAAAAACTACAGGCCTGAAATGGCCGATCGACACCAAATTTGGAGCGTTAATGTGGGGCGCTATTTAATCCAAGAAAATTGTTCCTCTAGAACCACAACTCACACTGACATGAAACCAGTGCCGAATTGTTCTGCATGGTCCCCTTACTACAGACACCAAACTTCACTCAAATATGCCCATAGGTGGCGCTGTTATTGCAGATTAAAGACGGGGGGAAAAATCCCATTGATTTACAGGTGCTGGTCATATAATTAGAATATCATCAAAAAGTTGATTTATTTCAGTAATTCCATTCAAAATGTGAAACTTGGATATTATATTCATTCATTGGACACAGACTGATATATTTCAAATGTTTAATTCATTTAATTATGATGATTAAAACTGACAACTAATGAAAATCCCAAAATCAGTATCTCCGAAAACTAGAATATTAAGACCAATACAAACAAATTTTGCTGGCCAATTAAGAACAGGGAAACCATGGTCCTTAAACCAGGTACTAGTAGCTTTGGCACTGTGTGCAGTTGCCAAGTCCTGTTGGAAAATGAAATCTGCTCTAAAACTTCCTGGTAGACAGCTGCATTTACCTTGGACCTCATAAAACACAGTGGACCAACACCAGCAGATGACATGGCACCCAAACCATCACTGACTGTGGAAACTTTACACTGGACTTCAAGCAACGTGGATTCTGTGCCTCTCCTCTCTTCATCCAGATTCTGGGACCTTGATTTCCAAAGGAAATGCAAAATTTACTTTCATCAGAGAACATAACTTTGGACCACTCAGCAGCAGTCCAGTCCTTTTTGTCTTCAGCCCAGGCGAGGCGCTTCTGACGCTGTGTCTTGTTCAAGAGTGGCTTGACACAAGGAATGCGACAGCTGTAACCCATGTCTTGCATACGTCTGTGCGTAGTGATTCTTGAAGCACTGACTCCAGCTGCAGTCCACTCTTTGTGAATCTCCCCCACATTTTTGAATGGGTTTTGTTTCACAATCCTCTCCAGGGTGCAGTTATCCCTATTGCTTGTACACTTTTTTCTACCACATCTTTTCCTTCCCTTCGCCTCTCTATTAATGTGCTTGGACACAGAGCTCTGTGAACAGCCAGCCTCTTTAGCAATGACCTTTTGTGTCTTGCCCTCCTTGTGCAAGGTGTCAATGGTCGTCTTTTGGACAGCTGTCAAGTCAGCAGTCTTCCCTATGATTATGTAGCCTACAGAACTAGACTGAGAGACCATTTAAAGGCCTTTGCAGGTTTCTATGAAGAATCTCAGTCATCCAGGTCATAGTTATCCAACGAAGGTTAAAGTCAGTCCTACCTGCTGACAAAGGAAGATGCACGGTAATCCTTAACACAGCGGACTACCAGAACAAAGTCAACACACTACTAATGGACACAAACACATATGAGACACTGAGACGAGACCCAACCAGCAGATACAAGAAAAAGGCCATAGAATGTCTACAACAGCTACAGAAGGACAACACCATCACCTGTGAACAATATTACCGTTTGTATCCTGGAGAAGCCATTCCATGTATTTATGGACTACCCAAGATACACAAAGAAGGAGCCCCACTCAGGCCGATTATCAGCAGCATTAACTCGGTTACCTACAACATTGCCAAACACATTTCTACCATCTTAGCTCCTTTGGTGGGAAACACGCCTCACCACATCCAAAACTCTATTGACTTTGTAAACAAAGTTCAAGGACTAAAACTGGATCCAGATGAAACCATGACGTGACTTCTTTGTTCACCTGCATCCCCACCATAGAGGCAGTAGAAACAGTTAGGAAATGGCTAACACAAGACAACACCCTGGACAACAGAACCAGCCTCAGCCCTGACCAGATCTGTAAATTACTCGACCTCTGTCTAAACACCACGTACTTCCAGTACAACGGAGGATTCTATAGACAGAAGCATGGCTGTGTCATGGGCTCACCAGTATCCCCCATCTACATGGAAGAAGTGGAGAACAAAGCCCTCAACTCCTTCAGAGGAACAGCACCGAGCCACTGGTACAGATATGTGGACAACACCCGGCTCAAAATTAAAAGCCAGGAAGTGCAAGCCTTCACAGAACAACTCAACTCTGTGGACAGTAACATCAAGTTCACACGAGAAGATGTTCACAACAACAGTTTGGCCTTCCTGGACTGCGCTGTCAACATTGAAGAGGACAGGAGCCTGCAGATTGGTGTTTACAGAAAACCCCCACACACAGACCAATACCTACTCTTCAATTCACACCACCCACTGGAGCATAAGCTAGGGGTCATGAGAACACTGCACCACAGAGCAGAAAACATACCAACAAGCGCCCAAGCCAGAGAGAAGGAACAGAAACACCTGAAGGAGGCACTTACAGCCTGTGGAGACCCTAAATGGACCTTTGTGAAAACAGCCACAAGATCCAAGAAGAACAAAACTACAGGGGAGGAGGAAAAGAAGGTCAAACGCAACAACATTGTGATTCCATACATGTCTGGAGTATCAGAGAAACTCAGGAGGATTTTCAACAAACACAACATCCCTGTGTTTTTTAAACCCATGAACGTATGTGGTCCAATGCAGTGAGGAATGCACAGACCTGTATATTGGGGAGACTAAACAACCACTACACAAACGCATGGCTCAACACAGAAGGGCCAACTCCTCAGGTCAAGACTCTGCAGTCTACTTACATCTGAAGGACTCGTTTGAGGACCACCAGGTGCACATTTTAGACAGAGAAGATGGATGGTTTGAAAGAGGTGTCAAGGAAGCCATCTGCACCCGGGTCGAGAAGCCATCATTGAACAGAGGAGGGGGTCTATGCCACCACTTATCCTCCACTTACAATGCTGACCTTTCATCACTTCCCAGGAAACTCAACAAACGTAACCTATTGGCCTCAGGTGAAGATACCAACGATGGTCGTTCAGTCTTGGCCACCAGTAGTCCTAACAACTGTAACAACTGTCGTTACAGCAACCAGGAACATTAACGAACCAACAGTATCGACAACTCTGGCAAACGACCCCACTGAGTTTAAATAGCTGAGTTTCCCTGCCAGTCAGTCAGAACTGAAGAAGTCCTTTGGATGAGGGACGAAACTTCTTTCAGTATCTTCAACCAAGTCCAGTTGCCCTTGACTTTAACCTTCGTTGGATGCCTTTGCAGGTGTTCTGAGTTAATTAGCTCATTAGAGTGTGGCACCAGGTGTCTTCAATATTGAAACTTTTCACAATATTTTAATTTTCTGAGATACTGATTTTGGGGTTTTCATTATTTGTCAGTTATAATCATCAAAATTAAAAGGAATGAACACTTCAAATATATCAGTCTGTGTGGAATGAATGTATACATTATACAAGTTTCACTTTTTAAATGGAATTCCTGAAATAAATCATGTTTTTGATGATATTCTAATTATATGACCAGCACCTGTACATGCATTTGATATTTCCATAACCACCTGAAAAATTTGGTGCAATTTGGACTAAAGGCGGCGCTGTAATCGAAGCTCAAATACCCCATTCATTTCAATGGGATTTTCAACCAAAGGACATTGTGCAGGATAACTACAGCTCACTACATTGCACATTGATAAACCTTACGTCTACGTGTTTGGGGGCAGCTGATTCCGATGGTATAGGACAAAAAATCATGAAAACTCAAAAACTTGAAATTAAAGCTGCAAGCAGCGTTGGGCGGGCCCTCGCACTTGTAGCGCGTCCGCGCGTGAACCGGCCGAGTTGCATATTCTGGAGCTCTGCCGGTGCGGCTGTGAATTTCCTACGCGGTTCCGACGCCGCATGAAGGTGCTATATGTCACTTCCTGTGTCCCCTATGTGGAGCTACATAGCACTTGCCGCTATGAATATAAATCGGTATTGACGTGTAGATGTCTGCGGGGTGGGAGAGTTATCAAGCACGTAAAGTTTGTTTCAGATGTGACCATGTACACTGAACAATAATGTACACAAACAATAAAATAAATTCCTTTTATATTTCCCTGCCTTGTTGTTTATGTGTACATACAGAGGGAGAATGTGAGAACAGCACACATTTCATCGTTACTGTGTGTTAGAGCATGGGAGAACAGTGGATACTTTTAATACAGCCCACACCCCTAATACTGTGTAACTATAACAAGTAGAGAACAGAAGAAAAAGATGTTCTTTCTTTACAACTGTCTGCATAGCTTATTCATATTGTGTAATGAATGAAAATAAATAGGCCTACTAGGATCCTCTCTACTTTGACATTTAAGATTAGCTTGTTTGATCCACCTTCATACACTGTGACATTACTGTACAACTTGAGAAAGGTGAGTTGTTTTCTGCTCCAGCCTGCCTAAAAGAAAAGCGTTTTTGGGATTAAATGGACTTTATTAGCTGCTGCAGTGAAGGATGAACTCAGAATAGACCATTTCTCACCTTATTATTCTAAATCATGCAACGAAGAAGAAGAAATGCATAATAAATCCTGTCCACAAATACTGTACAGCATGTAGTCTGATGAACAAGACTTGTGTTATAGCTGACTTGGGCAGTGAAATGTTTTTTTAATTCATGTGGTCATAGTTGTCCACAACTCAAATCAGATTAAAGCTGCAAGCAGCGTTGGGCGGGCCCTCGCACTTATAAGCGCGTCCGCGTGTGAGCCGGCCGAGTTGCATATTCTGGAGCTCTGCCGGTGCGGCTGTGAATTTGCTACGCGGTTATGACGCCGCATGAAGGTGTTATATGTCACTTCCTGTGTCCCCTATGTGGAGCTACATAGCACTTGCCGCTATGAATATAAATCGGTGTTGACGTGTAGATGTCTGCGGGGTGGGAGAGTTATCAAGCACGTAAAGTTTGTTTCAGATGTGAGCATGTACACTGAACAATAATGTACCCAAACAATTA